CGGGGTGCCTTATGCACTCAAGGTGTTTATACACCGAGGTAGTAATGGAATAATTAATAAATGTTGTTTGTCACTAATAAATCAAGAATCTAAATTGAGAATTTGCCATGTTTGATTGAATTGCTTTTGGGATGTTTGTATTGATATGTATATGAGTCATCACCAAGTCTAAACCTGTAAATCACATAAAGTGCAAGATGGATGAGCAATAAAACTCTGGAATGGTACACATCTGGAGTAATGACAATTAGGGGTTGGGGTACATGGGGTATTATCCGTGTACTTTTATCGAGGCCGTCTGATCTACGAGTCTCCTATTTCAAATATTATTTTTCTAAAACTAGGAGTTAGGTGATATCTCATACTAACTACGGTCACGGAGTCGCGCCCGTGGTCTTTGGATGTTTATTGATGTTTCCGAAAGGAGGCATGGGGTTTTTCTTTATTGATGTTCCAAATGGGACATGGGTTGGACAACCTTGTCTATTGCTAAATCTAATGAAATAAATAAATAAGTCAGTTAATATTAATTAGTGAGGTCTTAATAAATTTGATAATCGAATCATGAATTGAGTCTGTATTTAATGATGCGTGTGCTTGATTATTAGTAGCATGTTAGGTATTTTCTTAATTTATTTCGCAGCTTGTATGTACTCAGCTTTGCTGACTGCGTGCTTTTGTGTGTGTCTTTCTTTGGTCGTGGCCTTCGCCTTTCAATGACCCTGTGACGATCCAATTTTTACACTTGTAATATTGGGGAGCAGAATAACCACATGTTCTTACACATGCAGCATTCATCAGGGTTGTGGGATCTTGAGTAGAGAGTTGGTTGTTTGCATTTTATTTCTTTTGCAAGTTTGAATTTATTTTAATTCTATTTTATTTGACATTAATTCTTTTGGGTTTGAATTTATTTGAACACTAAATTTAATCACTTACTACTTTTATTTGGTTTTAAATAAGGGCCTTAAAGGTTCCAACTTGTAATACTTATTTTGATTTAATTCCTTTGTTTTGAGGTTTATTTATAACTGTTTTGGTTTTCTGCTGCTAATTTCTGAGATAGCCTTAACGTATTAATACGTGGCGGTAGCACACCAGTAATTCTCTTGAAATTGTTCAGGTTATATACAGGTTTCTCACAGGTTTTTAAGAGAGAATTATTGGGGTGTTACAAATAATCCATCACAATTAACAATTCATGCTTCATAAATCAATCACCAACATCAACCAAATAACAAATTCCAATCAAAATTTATCATGATACTATTTGGAATCAATTATTCAAGTCCTATCATGTTCCTACATCACCAAATAAATACCAAGTACGCGTACATACATCAAATAACCTCTTTAAATAGCCGAGTACACTACAAAAATTCTCAAACCAAGTCTCCTACATAAAGGGATAATAATACTATATTAATTACCCTTATATACACAATTTCCAGCAACTTAAACTCACTTTAAACAACTTAAAATAAATCTGAAAATTATTTAAAAACATTTAATTAGTCTCTCTTTCAATGGGTAATTAAACTCTTTTATTAAAATCACAATTCTACTACTTTAAATAAAATTCCAGCAATAATACTTTGTTAAGAACTCCTTAAAAACTCATCAAAATCATATCTTTATACTTGGTTAATGATCAAAATTAATGGGTATTCATAACCTCCAAATCAATTTGTGTAATAAACCTAAAAATCATAACTTTATAAACTTTAAAACCTTAACTTAATGAATTATAAAATCTGAAAATTAAAATCCAACTAAATAATATGAAATTACACTTTTTAATCATTAAAACACGATTTTGATACTAGTTAAACCAATTTTGAACAATAAAAACAAAGATCAAACTAAATAACAAATCAAGAAAACAAAGAGGAGAGAGAGAAGGAGGGTGTCACGCCATAGTGGTCAGCCGCCTAGCGGCAATCGGCGGTGAGGTCGTCGAGCAGCAGCGGTAGCCAGTAGTAGGCATTGATGGGAGTAGTAGCAATTTGGAACTCATGGTGATGAAATCCCATGTGAAAGAACAAGCAAAAGAAAGAAAAAAACATAAGAAAAGAAAGAAAAGAAAAGGAAAAAGGAAAGAGAATAAGAAAAGAGAAATAAGGAAAAGAAATAATTACCATGACTAATTGACTTTTTTGTGTAGGAAATTTTGGGGATTGATGGAGTATTTATAGTGTAGAGTAGGTTAGGGTAAATTTTAGGCTTATAAGAATTTTAGACTTGGATGATGAAAAAGTTGGCCCAAATATAATAATAGGATGATTGGATTTTTTAAAGAGCCCCTATTTAATCACGTGTGAATATGCTTGACAATCATATGAAGCGGGATTTGACATTATACGATATGGGACAGATAAAGCAAGGAGCCGCTAAAAAGTTTTTAAGGAACTTGTAAACCGTTCACTGATCATTTAATGCATACATAATTAATGGACAACGACAGGCAAAACAATTGACCTGTGAAGGTTACACCCCATTCATAATTTATGAAATTTCTAACTCTATATGGTTCAGAACTACAAAAGAAGGATTGGGCCGGGGCTGATGGTAGTTACAAAGTGAGTCATGGAGTCACATTCGCCCGTATTGGCCTCTACTCCATTCTTATAGCGAAAGATGTTTCATGCGATCTTAAAGGCACACAAACAAAGATTCAATTTGCTCCAGACTTAATTAGGCTGAATTAGTTGAATATCAATGCACATATAATTTTAAAATATTAGTGATCACTTGATTAAACAACAAGATAAAAAAGGAACCTAAACTGAATGTCCAAATTATCTTATTAGTCGTCATTTTTAATTACATATTCCTAATTAAACATGCAAAAGGGTGATTAAAATAAATAAAATAGTATGACAACAATATTGGAAGCAACTTCATAATATTAATTTGCACAATTATATCCCATCATGATAACAGAAATATTAAAATAATATAATAAGTAATTAAATAAAATAATTACTCACATTAACCTCGCTCCTATAATTTGCTACATCATGAATAAATTGATACTAACTTCAAAGAATAAGGCCTCATTCACTTCACATTATTTTTGTTGAATAGAAATTATTTTTAGTGAAACAAAATAATATTTCCTGAATTTAAATTATTTTTACTGAACTTAAATTAATTTTACTGAACTGAAATTATTTTTGCTGAACTCAAATTATTTTTACTGATTTTCTATTATAATTCTTCTTTAACTGAATTTTACTGAATTGAACTTATTTTTACTGAACTAGAATTATTTTTATTGAATTAAAAATAATTTTACTGAACTAAACATATTTTTACTGAACTAAAATTATTTTTACTTAATATTATATTTTTAAGGTGAAGTGAATAGGGCCTAATAAAAACAAATTGAAAAAAAGTAAATTAATTAAAGAGATGAGAAAATGAATTCACCCTCAAGATTATACCTTCAGACCATAGTAAAAAAGGTAGAACCTTCGAATCTTGTTTGAGAATTTGAATTACTTGAATAGGATTAAAAATAAAGCTAAGAACAATAGAAATTGTATGTTAACCCTAAGTTTTGATGATGACTCATGGAACCTAAGCAAACCATAACTAGTTTAACTTCTGTTTTAGCTTTGATTATTGACAGGTGTATGCTACGAGATTCTAGAGTAAGAATGGAGCATAGTTCAAAGTCTAAGTCTGCTATGGAAGGATAAAGAAGCCAATCAGATGTCAAGTTCCTTGAGTGAGGAACTAAAGGTTCAGAGTCGAAGCTTCTCAGAGTTTCAAGGAGTATATTTTATGATTAATTTTAGGCTTCTTGTATTTATACTAAGTACAATGATAAATTAGGATTTAAGTGGATTTAATTTTATATGATAAAGATTTTATTTGCTATATTTTAACTTGTTTATTTTCGAAATTTATCATTTAGTTAAAATATCTTTTTAAACAAGATTTTTTAAGTTTTATTCAAAGCTATCTTTTTGGAAAATCTGTTTTGGGAAAATATCTTTTAAAAGTGTTTTTACTTTGTCAAAGAGGACGTGTTTTTACTTTGTCAAAGAGGTTGAGAAAAATCAGGAAGTCAGTAAAACCACTCCCTGATAATTCATTTAGCTTGCTGCCCAAGTTCCCACTATCTACACTTCCAAATTTTATGGAAGTTGTGGCTGAGTGGAGATTAAGGCAAACGACAGTTTTTAACTTCCTTCTTCCTCTATAAAAAGACTTGGTTTCTCTGTTGAAAAAAATACACTTGAGCATTACAATCTTTTTGCTTACAAAAAAGAGTCATAATCCACTTAAGTCCTTAGTACTTAGCATTTAGAGTTTAATCTTGAGTTGTATTGGGTTAGAGTTTAGGGAAACTCTAAAGAGTGTTTATTTCTTTGAGTGAAGCAAGGAGAAAGAGAGAGTTAGAGTGATCAACTGATTGAGGGATTAGTTGAAGGGTGCTTAAGTTTGTTGAGGAACTTGAGTATAGAGTCTTAATTTGTAATAGGTTGTTTGCCCTATTATTATTAAGAGTTGAGTTTAAAATCCCTTGTGGTCGGGGTTTTTCTTCTTGATTAGGGCCAACAAGTTTTCCATGTAAAATCTCTATTTGCACTTTTAGTTTTTGTTTGAGTTCCTTGATTAATTCCGCAAAAATTACCCTAGTTCTTCTACAATACAATTCGCCCCCCTCTTGTATTGTTCATTCGAGTTAACAATTTGTATCAAAGCTAGTTCCTCAAAGAAATCAGGAAACCCTGATGAGTTAAGTTCCTGGAAGCAATATGAACAATCACGAGAAACTGGAAGAAGGTTACTCTACGCAGCGTCCTCCTATGTTCAATGGGAAGTTCTACACCTATTGGCAGAACATGATGGAGATTTTTATCAAAGCTGACAACTACCAAGTTTAGATAGTTATTGAAGTTGGTGATTTTGAAATCACCAAAACTACTGGTGAAAATGAGGTAGTACCTAAACCCATGTCTGAATTTGATAAGGAAGATTTTGAAAAAATGGAAATTAATGCACTTGCTGTTAAATTACTTCACTGTGGTCTTGGACCTCATGAACACAATTGTGTTATGGGCTGTAAAAATGCTAAAGAAATTTGGGATTTACTTCAAGTAACATATGAAGGAACTAACGAGGTGAGACACTCTAAAATTGATCTGCTTAGGTCTAAACATGAACGTTTTGAAATGCAACCAAAAGAAACAATCCAGGAAATGTTAACCAGGTTTACTAACATTATTAATGAGCTTGTTTCTCTTGGAAAGCAAAGTCCTATTGATGAGCAGATCAGGAAATTTCTAAGAAGTCTCCCTTAAAATGAAAGATGGAGAGCCAAGGTGACTGCCTTACAAGAAACTAAGGACTTCACAAAGTTCAACATTGAGCAACTTGCTGGTTCCCTCATGACTCATAAGTTGCACTTAGGAACAAGCAACAATGAAGGAAACAAAGGAAAAGGCTTGGCTCTCAAAGCTAGTAATCCAGAAGATTTTGAAGTAGATGAAGAAGAGGCTGCCATGTTGGTGATAAGGTTCAAGATAATGTTCAATCGAAACAATAAAACAAGTATATTCACCAAAAAGTCCTCTACCTCAAAAGCTGACTCCAGATGTCACAAATGTGGATCTCTAGATCATTTCATTTGAGAATTCCCTCTGTGGGAAACTGAGAAAGGAAAAGGGAAGGCTAAGGAACAAAACAAGAGCAACAAAACTCCTTTCAACAAGACAGACATTAGGAAGGCTATGATAGCTGCTTGGGGAGATTCTGAGAGTGAAGATGAGGAGGAACAACCTGAAGAAGAAACATCCAATCTCTGTCTAATGGCCAAACGTGATGAAAAGGCTTACAATGAAGAACTAGCTAAAGATGTATTTGTCGATCCCAATCACCTTAGAACTCTTCCTAAAGAAGTACGTATTGATTTTATTTTAGAAATGGAAGATGACTGGAGAATTGATATTAAAAAGCTTAATGAGTGTGAAAAGGATCTCAAAGTCTACAAGGAACACAACGCCTGGATTGAGAACCAGCACACTGATATTCAAGGCAGATTCTTTGATCTTTTTGACAAGAATCTTCATCTAAAAGAAATAAATGAAAAACTCAAGTATGAAAATATTATTGTTAATGTAGAACTGAGTCAATATAAGCTTGCTAGTGCTGACTTAAATCGTCAAGTTCCTCTTCTGAATCATTGCCTAAATGTAATGAAGATTTTGAAAAATTAAAACACAATCTTGATGAGTTAAGAATTGAAAAGGCAAATTTGGAAAAGGAACTTGCTATCAGAAAAGAGAGAAGCACTAGTCATCTTGGCATACCTAAGTGGATTGAGAATGCTCAAACCAAAAGAACTAAAGGACTAGGATACATTCGATCTAAGAATAAAGGTAAAAAGAAATATGTTGATTTACCAAGCTATAAAGTGTGTTCCTTCTATGGGAAAACAGGTCACTTAGTAAATACTTGTTATAAAACGGAACAATCTGTTAGTAAGAATGTTAAGCAAGTTTGGGTTAGGAAATCTGACATTGCTTCAACATCCAAGGAACCCAAGGAAACCTGGGTTTCTGAAACTAATCAATAAGTTCTTTTCCAGGTTCTAGTGAGGGGGAACAACACGTGGTACCTCGACAGCGGTTGTTCAAAGCATATGACAGGAGACAAATCAAAATGCCTCTCACTTGAGGCCTATTCTGGAGGAACTGTGACCTTTGGAGTCAACAAGAAAGAATAAGTCATTGCAAAAGGAAAAGTAGGAAGGTCAAGTTCCCATTCAATTGAAAATGTACTATTGGTCAAGGGTTTGATGCATAATCTGCTGAGCATATCACAATTTTGTGATAAAGGAAACTCTGTAAGTTTTACTTCTGATTCATGCAACATCATTAATGACAAAAAGGAAGGGTTGTTCTTGAAGGAACTAGAAAAGGGAACACATATATTGTGGATCTCAATTTTGTCCCTAGGAACAACCTTACATGTCTGAGTGCCATTAATGATGATCCTTTATTATGGCATAAGTGTTTTGGACATGCTAGTTTCTCACTCATGGATAAACTTAGAGCGAGGAACTTGATCATAGGGCTTCCCTCATTCAAGTTCCTCATACAACATATATGTGATGCATGTGTGAGAGGCAAGCAAGTCATGTCATCTTTTAAAAGTAAAAAACATGGTGAGCACCAAAAAGCCATTGGAACTTATTCACATGGATTTGTGCGGTCCCATAAGTGTCCAAAGTAGGAGTGGAAAGAAATATGTTCTAGTTATAATTGATGATTTTTGTAGATTTACCTGGGTGATTTTTCTGTCTAGCAAGGATGAAACCTTTGATGAATTTGTGTTATTAGCCAAGAAAGTGAAGAAAACAAGTGGAAATCAAATAATCCACATTCAGTCTGATCATGGAACTGAGTTTGAAAATGCAAGATTTGATGAGTTCTGCAAGGAGAATGGCATGGATCATAACTTCTCATCCCCAAGAACCCCTCAACAAAATGGGGTTGTGGAAAGGAAGAACAGGACCCTAGAAGACATGGCAAGAACAATGTTCATAGCTAGCGAACTTCCAAAGAACTTCTAGGCTGAAGCCATTAATACTGCATGTTATTTTATAAATCGAGTTATGATGAGACCAATCATCAATAAAACTCCATATGAACTGTTTAAGGGCAGAAAACCCAATGTTTCTCACTTTAGAGCATTTGGATGCAGGTGCTTTTTCCATAATAATGGAAAAAGGAACATTGGAAAATTTGATGAAAGAAGTGATGAAGCCGTGTTCCTTGGCTATGCATCAAATAGCAAGGCTTATAGAGTTTACAATAAAAATACTATGTGTGTCGAAGAAGGAATTCATGTGATATTTGATGAATCTAATATGTTTGTGAATGTGCAGGAACAAGACACTAATGATTATGAAATTGGAATGGTTAGAGACAAGGAGGAAGATGAAGAAGAATCTAGTCATCCCAAGGAAAGACAAGTTGAACCTGAACAAGATGATCAAGAAAATGCTGAACTTCCTCCTCCTAAAATTCAGGAGGAACAAGGTCATGAAGAAACAGGCAACGAAGAGGAAGCAGAAGGAACAGAAGAAGAAGTGCTTCAAATAGGAGTTCTAGACAGAGAATTTCAACCAAAGCCTTTCAAATACCAAGGCTCTCATCCTACTGATATCATAATAAGTGACATTGGTAGAGGAACTCAGACTAGATCACAGATGAGGAACTTCTATGCCTTCCAAGCTTTTCTATCCATAATTGAGCCAAGAAATCATGAAGAAGCTCTTAAAGATGCTGACTGGATAATTGCTATGCAAGATGAACTTAATGAATTTGAAAGGAACAGGGTCTTGCATCTTGAAGAGAAACCCAAGAACAAAAAGGTAATATGGCTCAAGTGGGTTTTCAAAAACAAGCTGGATGAGTATAGAACCATTGTGAGTAATAAGGCCAGACTTGTTGTCAAAGGCTACAACCAACAAGAAGGTATTGACTTTGGAGAAACTTTTGCTCCTGTTGCTAGATTAGAAGCTATTAGAATGTTAATTGCTTTTGCTTCATTTATGGGATTTAAGTTATATCAAATGGATGTCAAATGTGCTTTCATAAATGGTTTTCTTGAAGAAAATATTTTTGTGGAACAACCATCTGGTTTTGAAAAACCCAATTTCCTAATCATGTCTTCAAGCTTGATAAAGCTCTTTATGGGCTGAAGCAGGCACCGAGAGCCTGGTATGAAAGACTCTCCAAGTTCCTTCTACAAAATGATTTTAAAAGAGGAAAAATTGATAAAACCTTATTTTTAAAATCTAAAGGAACTGACTTATTATTTGTTCAAATATATGTTGATGATATTATATTTTGAGCAACTAACAAAATCTTGTGCAAGTATTTTGCTGATTTAATAAGTGGTGAATTTGAGATGAGTTTGATGGGAGAACTCAACTTCTTCCTTGGACTTCAAATCAAACAAACGGAAAAAGGAATTTCTATTCACCAACAAAAATTATGTCAAGGAACTTCTGAAGAAATATAACCTTGATCAACCAAAAACCAATCATACACCAATGGGAACTGGCACAAGATTGGATGAAGATATACAAGGAACTAGTGTAGATCAAACCAAGTATAGAGGTATGATTGGATCCCTTCTTTATTTAATTGCTAGTAGACTTGATATTGCTTTTAGTGTTGGATTGTGTGCTAGGTTTCAATCAAATCCTAAAGAGTCTCACCTTACAACAGTTAAGAGGATTCTAAGATACCTCAAAGGAACTGACAATCTCTGTCTCTTCTATCCTAGAAGTGATACCTTTGATTTAAAAGGTTTTGCAGATGCTGACTATGCAGGAGATTTGGTGAACAGAAAAATTACTTCAAGAATAGTCCAGTACCTCGGGCCATGTCTAGTTTCTTGGGGCTCCAAGAAACAAAATACAGTGGCCTTATCAACTGCTGAAGTGGATGTGGCTATTGCAGCTTGTTGTTCTCAAGTTCTTTGGATAAAAAACAATTAAGAGATTATGGTATGAAGCATAATTGCAATCCTATTTATTGTGATTATACAAGTGCCATATGCATTTCAAAAGATCCAGTTCATCATTCTCGTGTGAAACATATTCACATAAGGCATCATTTTCTTAAGGATAATGTGGAAAAAGGCTATTAAGTTAGATTTTTGTGATACTGAAAATCAAATTGCTGACATTCTTACTAAGACTTTGAGCAGGGATAAATTTGAAAAAATGCGTATGGAACTTGGCATGATACAATTGAGTTAAGAAGACCTCAAGTTCCCCCCCAAAGGTATAAGTCAATCATATATGCATTATATGTATCTTACACAATATGAATATGTGAAAACATAGTCCCAAGAATTAGAATGTATGACATTGCATATGGGATTGTGGCTATATGTGAAGAAATCAAATTGCATTAAGCTTGTATATGTTGCTAACAAACTATGTTGATTTGTTCCAAGTTCCTCCGCAAATTATATCTCTCTAAGATTTGTTTTATCTTTTCAAATTAATTAGCTGAATAAGTTAATTAATTTTATCCTTGAAAAATCTTATCTTTTTTATTTTTGATTTTGAAATATCCTCAAATATTCAAATAATCTATCAAAGTTCTTTTATTTAAATACCCTAGACTCTTCAAATTCATTTCAAAGCTTCTGATCAAAATATTGCTAGATCCTTCCTTGTCAAATCACATTTCTTAAAAGTTTTGATCAAGGATAAGTAAAAAGCAATTACCACTCTTCTTCAAACGACACCTAACACATTCAATTAATCTTCCACACACTTCTATCGACTTCCCTTAGCTCTCAAAATTCCCTTCCTATAAAATGCAACCAAACCCTAGTCACTGTTCCTCATCACCCCACTTAATCAAGTATATACTTCGTTTATTAGAATCACCTTTTCTCCCATGGATGTATCACCGAAAATTCAAGCCACTCCACTCAAAGACTCACCTATGGACATCGAGCAAAAAACCCCAACCTAAACAATCTCTGAAAAACCTCAAAATTGGCCAATTGCTCGAAGTGAATCAAAGTAACGGAAACTTGAGGACGAGGAACCTGCTGACCTAGGTTGGGTGGAAATGGGCGAAAAATTCAGAGGGAAAAATCTCAAGCCGTCAAAAGGATCAAAGCAAGCTTAGAACGCTTCATCCATGGATTCTATATCAATCTTCCCTGGTGCGAAGTTAGTAAGTACTCTAAACTGCTTGAAATTCTTGAAGCTTGAAACTGGGTGCAGTTGTTTAGTGAAAGTTATGTGAATGTGCTTGCTCATGCTCCTCTAAAATAATTCTGTGCGAATTTTAAGATTGTTGATGGTGTGTGTACTAGCAAAGTTAAAAATAAGAAAATTAGTTTTGATGCTGATTATCTAAGTGCTATTTTTGGAACTCCAAATGAAGGTTTTGATGAGTATTTTAAAGGTGATAATGATTTAAGTGTTGGTGATGTGTCTATAAAAGAAATTTTAGAATCAATTGGAGGAAAGTTTTCTAAAGTCCAAACCAATCATAATCTGTTCTCTCCCATTCAGAAATTGTTGTTTATCTTTTTTTACTTTGCCATTATTCCCAGAACCCAGCACAGGCACGAGGCTAATCACCTTGATGCTATGCTCATGTATTGCCTTGAAAATAAAATACAAATTAATTTTCCTTCTCTCATGCTAAAGCATCTTACCCATTGCATTGCAAATCACCTAAAAGTTGGATATGCAAATCTGATCATCACTATCATTGAGAGTTTTGGTATCAATACCTCAAACTATAAGCATCTCAAACTTCAAACCAACCACTTTCTCCAACCCAAAACTCTAGAAAGCAGAAACCTGCATGTTGTGGATGGAAAGACCCAGTTTCTTCCAAAACCCTTCCCAAATCAAAACAAGATGAAGTCAAGAAACTGTCTGTAGAGGAGGAGGTTGAGAATTGGCTGGAGGAACAGGAGAGTGAGAGAGAGAAAGAAAAGAAAGAAAAGACTGAGGAGTTAGAAAAGAAAGGGAGTGCTCCAAGTGAAGGGAAAAGAAAAAGTGTCAGGTTGGCTTTTAAGCCAAAGAGGAAGTGTGAGAAGGAAGAATTTGTCCCGTATATGGATCTAAGTGAGGAAAAGTTAGGTGTTCAGGGGGAATAGGGCACCATGGAACAACATTCAGTTGAAAATTCCTTTCCCACAGGTACAAGATTTGCTGCTTTTAGTTCCCTC